ATTCTAGGGGATTTGATTTAAATTACTTCTAGACTATGAAATATGTTAACAAATATGCACTAAAACATTCAAATAAAAGTAGATTTGTTTAGGTAGGCTTTCACAAAGTGCAATGAATATGAAAATAAAGAAGCTTTTGAGAAAACTACAAGACTTAATATCAATCAAGTATAATCTGCACGCCTAATCAAACAGTTTAGCCCATTAAACAAGCTTGTAATTGTATTTATTTGTCTCTTTATATTTATTTTACATTTATTATATATTATAATATTATTTATTATAACATATTGCATTCAAAATTAATGTATATAGAGGTAGTTTTATGTAGTAAGTCAATAACTCTTTCAACAGTTTTTTAAGGTTATTATTAATGAAATAAAGTAGTTTATTATTTCTTTTATGTAATCTAGTCGATTTATGTTTTAAAATAACCATTTTATTTGGGATTAATCAATATATTTTCTTCATGATTTTGTATTTATATATTATGTGAATATTTTAATGACCTTGTATTTTGAATGTCATGTTTGTTTCTTGTAAAGCTATATTTTTAAATAGCATGTTTAATTTTTTAAATATGACTTGTATGCAATTTTGGCAGCAAAATAATTATTTTACTCACATATGAGAACACTGATCGCAGCATCTCTAAGCAAGAATCAATGACTAGTGGTCTGAGAGAGGAAAAAAAAGTCCAAATATTTCTCAGGCCAGATGTTACAGTAACATCACATCAAGTTGCTTGTTCATTAATATCCTTAGGAACTACTTTGAAGTTGTCACTTGTATTGTTTTTTTCACATAACAAGGTTATGGATCATATACTGTATACTGCAATCAATTATCAATTGTTATTATAACTGCAACTTGTTGTTTGACATCACCGTAACTCCCTGCTGTTACCTTGTGGTGTTTCTTGGAGGTTTTGCACACCTGTGCTGCGATTTCTTCTTCCTCTCTCAACAGATCTTTATAAGAACGCTTCTTCTCTCTTTGGCTGCGACCTGCAACAAGACTGACCTCTCCTTCAGCACCTGGAACATCTACAGGGAAACCACATTTCAATGTAGGTTTGTTAGGGATTTGTTTTGAGTGTATTGTGGTTCTTTTGTGTGACAGACTTTACCCATCATTCCTTTCTTTCTGATCTCCTCAAAGGCCATGTTCAGTCCTTGCTCTTCAGCTGGAACTGGTCAGTCATGCGAGTCTAATGCACAAGAACAAATGCAAGTTGCAGATCAGTCAAAAAAACTAATTATATGAGTGCTTTATGAAATTCTAGATCCAGAGTTTTTTATTTTTATTTTTTTGCTTGTTTTAAATTGTTCTTGTGTTCTATACTTATCTTTCTTTCTAGACATTTTAAAGTACAAATGAAACCAAAACTAACCATAGGATTTGGTTCTAATCAGCTCACATTGCCATTTTGTGATGAACAATTAATATGCGCATGTCATTAAGAAAAAATAAATAGTTTGCCTTTATAATCTAAAATTAAAATCCTAAATGCACTTCCTGTTTTTTCCAGTTAAATTTTCATGATTTTGAGGTATTGGGCGTGGTTAACATTTAACCACGCCTCTTTAGTCAGTCAGTTTTGATAACAAACAGTAATGGTTGAGGAGGACGTGTCAACCTAACAAGGTTGTAATAACTTGACTAAAACTCATTTCCCAATCTTACTGAATGAAAAGCCTACTTTACTTTATCCAATCAGCTCGCAGAAGAAAAAACAAGCCACGCCCACTGTTTTCTCATTTAATATTCTGTTTCTAAAGGAACTGTCACAATCCGCTTGTTAGGTGGTGAGGTATGGAATACTGTTTGCAGGTCCAAGCTGCTGCTCATTTAAATTAAGGAAATATTCGTTTATGACCACTTCCATGGTATTTTAGTCATTAAAGTGAATTTTCTATGAATTGATGGTGTACACACAACAGTCTCTGGACTTGCTGCATCACAGACATCAATATTTGTACAATTTATAAAACATTTATCACTTTCTGGCCATCTGATATTAAGCATGGATATATATATATATATATATATTGCGATCGTGATTTTCGAAAGTAGTACATCGCTTTGGAAATGTTTATTTTTACCATTTGTTGAGTGTTCCCATATAGTTTGATATGGTGCTTGGACTCAAAAGCCGCTCGGCGTGACATCACAGTTATCAAGTTGATAGGAAAAGAACTATTTAATGGTTGCAGCTTCAGGTTCATGTGGACTTTAATGAAAATAAAAAAAGCTTCTTTTTTTGTTGAAGAATTTGAGAAAACTCGATTCTGTTATTTCATCTTTTCCCCATTGCGTAATTCTAGGGCACTAAAAAGTACATTAAAAAGGACATAAATATATATATATTTTTATATATACAAAATATATTTTTAAATTATTTGTATAAAATGTACAAAATTGGGCAATTGTAATGGACAACATTATACGTCTTTCTTGTCTTTAAAGACATTTCTTTTGGATACACATCGCAATATAAGAGGAAAAAGACTATTGCAACTTCTCATGCTGATTTTAAAACATAAATGACCTTTCGTGCATAGATAACTAATAATTCTGTTTTCAACACAATATCTGCACTGCCTTGCAGCCTGTAGTGTCAGACTACATGTTTGTGTGTCAAATTATATTAAAAAAATAATAATAATAATTATATATATATATATATATATATATATATATATATATATATATATATTGTGTTTTCTCTTCAAGCTTATGATGCCTGAATTCTTATCTACTGCTTTTAAAATTATATAACTCTTCCAGCAGCTTATTAAAAATAAAAGTAGTAAGTGTATGTAACGTGGAATTTGGCAAATTATGCATGAATTAATGGAATTGCTGTTAGGCATGGGACGATAACCGTTTTCAAGGTATACCGTGATTTGGAAAAGTCAAAGTTTTAAAAGTGCCAACATTTTCTGCTATACCGTTCTTACGGTATACGTAACATTTTATTTACGTTTTTGTTGTTGTGTTTTAGGACAACAGCATCTCCTGCAGAAAAGATTTCCAAAGATGCCGTTTTAAACCATAAGGAGATCTGTGTTTTTGAAACTAACGAAGACAGCAGAAGTCAATGATTGATTTTAATTATTTAGCCTTACATGTTAACTACTCCAAAATATTATAAATGTTTCTCAAAAAAAATATTTTGTGCTGAAAGGGGAAAAAGTTTTTGTTTTTTATGCATATATTTAAAAAGAATATATATTAGAACAGTAATCACGACACCATGAAACCATGATGTTCTTATCTAAGATTATCATACCATCAGAATCTAACCGGCCCATGCTGTATTCATAATAAAATTATAATAAATGGCATGCCTTTTTATGCAAGAAAAACTACTGTAAAATCATACACACACACAAAAAAAACTCAAGTCTTCATAACAACCTACCAAAATAAAAGTTTAGTTTAACACATGAAAGAAAAATAATACTTCTGTACGGGAAAAAATGTACTTAAATTTACTTCTCAGATAAAAAAACATTTTTACGTTTTTTTTTTTTTTTAACAGCTCTAAAAAGCCATTATAATGGAGTACAGAACACCCAAAAAATATTAAATTGGAACTTGGGAAATAATGAAACATTTTCCAGGCCCTGAGTATACTCATAGTGCTAAAACATATTTGATCATGGACTAAAAGCAAACATAAGTTTGCTTTATAAGTGCAAAACATATTTTAGTATTATATCGTCAGGTATTATCCCAATACAGAACCAAAGGTGTGCCATATAATCAGATGTTTAACAATTCAAACATAAAGGGCAAATATATAAAAACTTAAAACACTTTTTAACACGTGACAGAAAAATGTCAGATTAAAAATAGTATAATTATTTTTCATAATTTTAAAGAATTTTCAAGCTTTAAACAGCACCAGGTAGCCACTAAAATGGAGTACAGAAAAATAAGGGGAAAAAAGTATTAAATTAGACAGTGAGTAATAATGAAACATTTCCCAGTCCCCGTGTGCGCCAAAACAATTTGATCTTGGACTAAAAGCAAAAAAGGTATTCCAGAAAGTGTTTTACTATTATAGTGGAGGGTATTAAACAATACAAAACAGAAATGATTATGCCACATAATCAGATGTTACACTTTAAGGACAAATAAATAAAAACTTATGCTGAAGCAAAAGATCGAAAAGCTACACTCTTTTCCACTCATCCTCCAGTTGCCATTAAATTGTTCTTCAAGTTGCGACAGTGTAGCATGCAGAAGTGTTAAAGCACTGTGAAGCCGCTCTCCTGAACGCACACACAAACACACACAGTCATTAGTGAGGGATCGGGCTCTACAACACGCATCAGTTTCCTCCAGCCGCTTCAGTCAAGCTTCCAGTGACAATTGCTGGAATCCAACAACACGATCTGCCTCGACACTCGATATTACACATTTCCCGCCTACTTTCGAAGAAATGCAGACTCGCACACCCCCTTCCCTTCGCTTCATCAGGATCCAGCGCTTCCCTGTTGAAACTCAAGAGGATTTGAGCTGCTGCGGGCGAGCGGCGCGTCTCTGCCGGACCGTCCGGCGCGCGCGGACCCGCTGCTGCGGCGCACACAGGCCGGTATCGGGTTACAACTCGAATAACCGCGCGCTACCGCTATGCAACATTAAGGGTTTTTAATGTACTGCAAAATTGGCACGGAATGCACGCGATTTGTATGGACATAATACAAGTGTTGTGCAATAATCGCTGAAATATTACCTCGGGTTGGATGTGGGTTTAGTTGGCGCGCGACGCCGTCTTTGATGGGAGTCAACAACAAAAGCAGCCAAAGATGAGGAGGAGGGACTTTGAGAGCAGAGTGTATCACAACAATGAAAACCCCCATCTTTGCAACCACAACTGTGTATTAATAAAGTACACATTCGAGATTTTTATTATATAAAAACGACAGATTATTAATTTAACACAATATAAGATCAAATTAAATCATATTAAAGACTGAGTCAGCATACACTTTTGGCATTGTCATTTATTTGGCAGTCTTAATTGTCAATTACAAAAATTAATAATACAGTAAACAGTGACATTATAGGCTACAATAAAGGCATATCAGAAAGGAATGAGTTATTTCCTAAAAGGATAGTTCATTCAAAACTGAAATATCCATCATTTACTCACCATTCACGCTTTCCAAACCTGTGTGTCTTTTTTCTTCTTCTATTGAACACAAAATATGATATTTCAATGAAAGCTGGACACCTCTAAGCATTGACTTCCATGGTATTTGTTTTTTCTACTATAAATTTAATGGTTACAGGTTTTCAGCTTTCTTCAACGTATTTGTGTTTAGCAGAAGAAAGAAATTTAAAGATTTTGAACCACTTAAAAGAGGACAATTGGTAAATGTTCATTTTTGTGTGAACTATCCCTTTAAGGGTGAAAAATAACAAAGGCAATGTGTCATTTTCTCAAAGTTGCAGTTAAATAACCAGAATCATTGATGTAGGCATGTCATATATAAATAGTTTTCCCAACAAAAGCCACAGCTGTCCCATCTTCTGTCATCTTTTCTTCAGTGCTTCTCTACCTGTCTCCCATATTCTGCATCTGAATACTGAGAGACGTGAAGCTGGCCAGTAAATCGGTCACTTCATCCACCTGCAGATAGCATGAAAGAAAAAATGTCCAAGCGCTACAGTCAGATCAAAAGAACAGAGGTGTACTTAAAAAGACTTTGGATAATACAGTGGTCAGTATTTACAAATACACCCCTCACAAATCACAAAGTCTTTTGAATTCATATTTTTAATAGGAAGCTATACAATATAATTTTTCTGCATAAACATTAGATTAATCAGTACTGAAGCCAAATCTGAAGCTTTTCTAACAAAATAAGTTACGATAACGGTCCAAAAACTAGTACAACCAAATATATGTTATAGAATAATATTAAATACAAATTTAAAAATGAGGAAAAATCAAGAGACGCAAACCAATTAAATAATTTCAAAATAAAAATATTGTAGGTTGTCATTTTTTTTTTTTTTTTTTGCAATATTTTGCTTGAATTTAGTTGTATTGTCTTTCAATTTCTAAATATGTTTGGTGGCTAAATATTATTTATATATATATATATATATATATATATATATATATATATATATATATATATATATATATATGTTTAATAAATTAAATGCACCAAAATACATTGCTTATATTTACTGAGAAACAGATACAAATATTCATTTTCAAAATGGGGTGTACTCAATTATGCTGAGCACTGCAAGTACATAAACATATTGGTCAGTTTAAGACTTTTACTTGTAAAAATATATTATAATGCTAACTTACTTAAAGCCAAGTTCAAAAAGGCGAAATTATGAGCACGGCAGCTTCTACATTCAACATTTATTTTGCTTTCAGTGTTACATAGCATCACGGCTTCCAACAATGCTGATAATTTTGTTTAAAAAATGAAAACTGCAGATTTATGCTTAATGATTTTAAGAATAAAGGAGCTGAAAACCAAACCTGAAATATTTTTTTAATTTAAAGTTTGCAGTCAAAATCCAAGAACCACTTATTTGGTAAACAAAGCTACAGCAGGTCTCTCATATAATACATCCACTACAAGACAGAAAATAGTACTTTGCAATAACTATTATTTATAAATGATCTAAACATTTGCATATTGTTTAATGATATTACTTAAATCAATATATAAACTGACTAAATGTATATTTACACACATTTACTTGAGTAAATAAATAGATTGAACGAACTGTGGAATACTGCCGGCACATTTTCTATGTGGGCTTTCCTAGGCTATAATAACCATTATAATTTAATGCACAAATAAATGCAAAACTGGGTTGCATTTTTACTCAGTATCAAAAAATACATATTATTGCAACATTAATGCATTTATTATAAGCTGTTTGAACATTTAAATCAAGTAATATTAAACATCATTGTTTAGCCTAAGTGAATTTATTTAGCCGTAATGTGGTTTTAATTGGTATCACACCATCGTTGCTTGAATTTAGCTTGTAGTGCATTGGGGTGCTGTTTGTACATTATTAAAGGGCTGTGTTAGATCTCAGATGTGTGTGTTTACCTGTTCTCTGGTGCGGGTGTTCTGCAGCTGGGTTGAGATGTGCTCTAGTTTCTCCCTCTCTTCACTCTGTCCCATTATATTCAGATACTCCCTCAGCATCTGAATGATCTACAAACATACCCAGAGATCATCCATTAATTGTCTATTACAGCACATATAAATGTCCAGTAAAATAGGATCGTAGGGATCATAAACATTAATAAGGAATTTATCTGAATGTTTGCTCATTTTTGCATATAACTGCTGCCAAAATAGGGCTGCTCGATTTTGGGAACAATTATAATCACGATTATTTTGGTCATAATTGTAATCATGATTATTCCAAACGATTAGTTGTAGTCAAAATTATTAGCACTCCTGACAATTAAAAAAATGTATAAATTATGTTTAACAGAGCAAGGAATTTTAACAGTATTTCCTCTAATATTTCTTCTTACGGAGAAAGGCTTATTTGTTTTGTTTTGGCTAGAATAAAAGCAGATTTAAATATTTTGAAACCTCTTTTAAGGTCAATATTATTAGCCGCTTTAGGCAATATATATTTTTGATTGTCTGCAGAAGAAACTACTGTTATGCAATAAACTGCCTAATTACCCTAATTAAGCCTTTGAATCACTTTGAATTTGAATGCTTGTATTTAAAAAATATCTAGTCTAATATTATGTGCTGTCATCATAGCAAAGATAAAATAAATCAGTTATTAGAAATGGGTTATTAAAACTATTATGTTTAGAAATGTATTGAAAAAAAATCTTTCCATTAAACAGAATTTGGGGGAAAAGGGTTGCTAATATTCAGGAGGGCTAATAATTCTGACTTCAACTGCATTTATACAGTTATTTTCCACCCTGCAAAGGAAAGAGAAATAAATACAATAGAATAAAAATATGAAACAAACTGTGCTTTAAGCATCTTCACTGTAAGAAAAACACTTTTAAGTAAAAAAAAAAAGTCTTCAGTCAAGAGCAGTAAGGGATTTTCTCGTTGTTTTATTAACCATGATAAAAAAGGCGGCAGTAAGAATTGCGCGCTGTTACTATAATGGTTTCGCCTTTACATGTCTTTTGATCCTTATTACAAAATGAGGGTTAATAGGAATAATCACTAAACACCGTGTTTTGACACCTATTTGACCTTTAAGCGCTCACGTTAAGATTACTTTAGATGTCTGCGCTCTGCTCGTCACAGTGTGCGTATGAGACCAAGTGCAGACCGCAAGCTTCTGACTGTCTGCGTGCCGCACACACATAAGCATGCGGTCTTTCGAGCTTTTAAGAGCAACAAGTGAGGAAAACTGGAAAGGGGGCGGTAAATAATGGAATAATCGTTTATCTCGATTAATGATTTTTCATAATCGTTAGAAGCCGAAATCGAAATCGGATTTTCAATTAATTGCACAGCCCTATGCCAAAACATCACCAAAAGTTTATTATCACATGGACATTTTATTTGTACTAATTAACATTGTTAATATTACGTTATCCTTACACTAATAGTTGTCATTGCTCTAAATGTTTTTTACACAAACCACTTACACTTTACTGAAGGAACATCATTTTGTCTGACTTTGTACTATGAATTACAATAAAAGATTGCCTTGAAACATTATTGCCCATCTGTCATATGACATTTATTTACTCGCTACAAGAGGCTTTTTTCCTACAATGATTATCATAGACGTCAGAAAAAATTTCAAAATAAAACTATAATTGTTGTGAATGTGACTTCAATAATCAAATCATCAAAGTTTCTATAATCAAGTTACACATACGGCTCATAATCTGAGTTTGCAATACTTTAAATGCTGCCCTACACAAACTCAAATTTACAATTGCATTTTTTTGCATTTGAATACTTGCATTCACATATATTTGTAATGTACTGAAAAACCCTTTAATGGCTCCTATGGTTTTCCATATTTCCTTAATAATTACATAATAATTGATCTATTACATGCACAGTTTTGTAGTGTTAACCTTTTGTTGCAGAAAGGACATAAACAAGGATGTAAACAACAGGAAATGCTGTTTGGCACCGCTAACAATTTAGTTACGATTTCATATTTATCCATAAAACCGTTGTAAACATCCACAATCTTCAACAGCGCTGCAGTGTCTCTCTATGTGGCCGCTTTCCCTGCGCTCTACATCTCAAATAACAAATCCTCAAAAGATATGTGAACATTTCATATTACTTACATGTTTATTCCTAATATATGTGAAAGACACTTGTCAGATGTTATTTTAGAGAGCAGGTGTGAGGTTAAGCTGTGTCCTCTTCATTTTTTTGTCAGATTCAAGCTCAAACTGATACGGCTAACAGCTACTCTAAATGACACAGTGCGAAAAGCGCATGATTGAAGAGGCGTAATGCTTCCTGGTGATGTGGAGCCGATCCACAAATCACAGCACATTATGTTAGCTGACCAATCAGAGCCTCTTGAGGGATTTCCTTTCAGAGGAACTAGGAAATATGACAGTCGTTTTCATGTTAGCTAAGTATCTGTATTTAATCAAAGTAGGGTATATGAAAAAATAAGGTGGTTTTCCACAAATCAAGCATGAGCACACATTGCTTTGCATCTTATAAACACAACTAAGCCTTAAAAATACACTCTGGACCACCTCTTTAAACACAATCTTTTGGCCCAAAAGTGCAGATCTATAAAAAAAAACACAACAAACCTGTAATTGTTTAAACGCATCTTAAATCTTCATCAGCCAAAAAAACCCCAATTTTACTTAGATATTTTGACTGATTGCTTTGGTTAAATTGAGTTACTAAATTTTTTTTTGGCACACAAAAGTGTTTTTAAAGCTTTATATTACAGTTGAACCAAAGTCACATGAAATCTTTTGCCTTTTTGGTTCATTTTCAGGACTTTGAACATCTCGGGCCATTGCTGTCTATGGAGGACGATGGAGCTCTCAGATTGAATCTAAAATATCTGAATTTGTCTTCCAAAGATGAACAAACGTCTTGGGGATTAGAATGCATTGGAATTAATGGCAAGATTTTTATTTTTGGGTAAACTAATCTTTAAGTGGGCTAAACAGTGCAGCCCTTTTAAACACATTCATAAGTGTAAATGCCATATGCTCAACTTGAAGTTTCTAGAAAAAGTTTGTGTGTAAATTTGATTAAGCATGTGCTCGATACCTGTGTGACCTCTCCTCTGAGGGTCTCTAGGCTACGCGAGTCTCCCTCTTGCAAGATGTTGAGCTTGGAGCGGGCGAGATGGAGAGGAGTCCTTCCAGCACGATCCAGAGCATCAACACGAGCACCTAAAGAGACATTCAGAACCACAATGAATTACATTTGTGAATAGGGGATGTTAAAAGAATAGTTCATCCAAAAGTTCTGTTTTCATTTTTTCACCCTTCACTCATTCAAAACCTGTCTGAGTTTCTTTCATCTGTTGAACACTACAGAAAAATGCTACATCCATAGTAATTGATTTCCTACTATCAGGGTTTCTGCGTGGTCTTAAAAAGTCCTAAAATGTCTTAAATTTCAAAAACCAAATTTTAGGCCCTAAAAAGTTTTAAATCCACTAAAATATTGTGTCGTAGATCTTAAATCATTTTTTTTTTCAATCTTAAATCATTTTTCTTTTCAATTTCAATCTTTATTTTCCTATGTCAATGTAAAGCTATACCTAATCGGGTCAACAGCCATTCAATCCCTAAAAATATATTTCAATAAAAGTTAAGAAACGTTTATTTATTAACTCTAATTACTTATTATTACACATGTATTATCTTCCTTGCAATAACTTTTGTTTTTAATGTTTTTTTTTACAGTTCTATCTTGACCATTAAAATTTTTTAGTGTTTAGCCTATTGTACGTCTGAAATTTCATTCATTATGGTCTTAAAATGGTTTTTATAAGGTCTTAAAAAGTCTTAAATTTGACTTGATGAAACCTGTAGAAACCCTGTACTATAGAAGTCAATGGGTGCCAGCATTCTTCAAAATATCATTTCTTTTTTGTGTTCAGCAGAAGAAAAGAAACTCAAAAACATTTGAATCCACATGAGGGATAATTAATTATAATTTTATGTAAACTATTGCTTGACGTAAAATATACACTGTTTTGTTGAAGAATTGGTTTACTTTCAGAACAGAAAATCCTGACAATTTTCTAAACCCTTTATCGTTCAACATGTTTATTTCTTAAGGTACTTTAAGTAATGAAGCTTTTTGTAGAGTTTACACACTTACAAGCTTAAAATTAAAAACATTTTTTAATTACTACACATTTTCTTAAAAAAAAAAAAAAAAAAAAGTATATACTTTTCAACCTTAAAAGTTTGCATCCCAAAGCACTAAGCAACCAACCACTCAAATCACTATATGGAGAAAAATCCTGCATGCTTTCCTCAAAAACCTTCTTTTTTTTTGACCAATGAAAAGAAAGAAATATCTTGAAAGACAATGGCGAGTTGATTATCAAGAAATATTCATCCTAAATGTGAACAACCCCTTGAAAAAATATATGAAAAATCTTAGATCCACTGCTTGTCATTGGTCATAAAGGTCAATTTTTGGAAATTGAAATTTATACAACATCTGAAAGCTGAATAAATAAACTTTCTAGTTGGAGGACAATTTACTGTGATAGGAGGATATTGGGCAGAAATACAACTATTAATAAAAAAAATTGATCTGAGGGTAAAAAAAACTGAGAAAATAATATTTTAAAGTTGCCCAAAAGAAGTGCTTAGTAATGCATAACACTTATCAAAATTAAGTTTGATACATTTTACAGACTGAAGTTTACACAGTTTTTTTGTACAAGATGAATTTACCTTAATATTTTAATGACTTTGATACTATATTATTATTATATATAGACAATTTTGTCCCATAAAATGCATTTTTAGTCATTGTCACAAATATAACCTTAAGACTGGTTTCGAACTTACCTCCTCGCAGTAAGGTTGTGATCACAGGCACGTGGTTGGTGCAGGCAGCTGTAAAATCATAATGCAATAATGACACACAAAGATGCAAATAAATATGTCTAAAAATATTTGCTGAATATACAATTCTTACCCAGATGCAATGGTGTGTTCCCAAGGCTGTCTCTCTGGTTTGGGTCAGCACCATAACTCAACAGCAACTGGACTGATTAATTACAAGTGGAGATTGAGAGAGTAAAAATGGAAAAGCATGTATACTTTATAATTTATCAAATCAATCTTTCATCATTTAAAACCCTAACAATCTTTTTGGTTTTAGTCAATAAAACACTACGGTTTGATACTATGCAATGCACTGATATGTATGCAATAAAAATGTAAAGTATGTAATGCAAACAGTTTAGTTCGCACTTACCGATAGTCTCATTGCCATTGCAGGAAGAGAAGTGTAAGGCTGTCCTGCCTTTGTCATCAGCAGCACAAGGATCAGTATCATCTTCCAGCAATCGTCTCACTAGAAGGGGTTACATTTTTCAAAAGTGAACACATTATTATTTAACTGTAGATCAAATCTTACCATATAGTATAACTTTCAGAGTCATGCTGCTGGTTATTCTCACCTGTATCTATATCATTTGAATTGGCAGCTTCTCTGAGCCTCTTCACAGCTAAAACAGGACATGTGGTTGGTTAAAAAATATGGGTCATGGATGATAATAATAGCAACATAGTGACTAGTTTGACATACTGATGCGAAATCATACAACTGAGGATTTAACTGCTACATTTTCTCAATCTTATGCTACTCCTTTCACTAAACATGGTTGGTTGAATGCTAGATTTTAATTAACTATGAAAACTATTCTTTAATTAGTGTATTATTGTTCATCACTAAAGGACGAATTTACAGTTTTGCATTTCAGCACTTAATGTTTAAGGTTATATATGATGTTTATATAGTATAAACATATAGTACAAAGAAATAAAGTTTATTTTAGTTCGTACAAGATAAAGACTAACATTTCATTTTGGTTTATTTACTTGAGCAGTGTATAAAAGCCTAATATTAGTGTAGGAAAAGCATTGCAAATCCACATTTTTGTTCTTATTTCTTTTTTGACTTGACAATTTCTAAAATATGTATGCATTTGTATAATTTTGGATCTGGGTTTGTATGGAGAACTTATACAAAACCTGAAATTATCTATAGCTATATTAGAGCCAAACAAAACATTTGTAACAAAGCCTGTTGCCTATATGGCTGATAAATTAACGCCTATTCACCACTGCAGACTGAAAAAAATAATTCAAATTTTCACCTGAAAGTAAGTTAAAGTTTAAGAAAATAAATGTATTTAATTTGATATATAATAATATTCAGGTTGTTTTTATGTCTTTTAGTTAGAAATAAATTTGTGGGTTTCTAAAATTTTCATTTATAAGCATCCATGAATTATAATTACATGCAGTCTTTGATGTACATGATTACAGAATTATTTGTAGTGTGTATCTTCTGCTCGTGTACACACACCATGCAGGTCTTTTCCAATGGGCCCCATGTTCCTCCGGGCTCTTGCCAGCCGCCTCACCCTGCTCGATGTGATTTTTCCTGGTGTGCTCCGTCCCGCCTGTAGCAGCTCACCGGGCTTCCATAAAAGGTGCAGGTACCGGAGCTCGGTGTCCGCGGCCGGTCGCGTCCGGTTGAGCCTCAGCGCGCTCAGGGTGTCCAGCCGGGAGATACTGAAGCCCACCGTGCCTGCACCGGCAGCTTCCATCGGCGACTCGCCCTCCCGCTTCTCGGTGTCTCCCGCAGAGGGTCCGCCGGCCAGCGTGTATTCGCCCTCCGAGCTGGAGCGGTCACCGTCTGAACCAGCAGCGGCTAAAAGCGGACTCGAGCCGTCCATATCAATAAAAGGCGTTCACTGCACTGATGTCAGCATGTAAATGTCAGTTCCAGCAGAATGTAAATACTGAATCTGTTACACAAACCTAAGCCCGCATGGTCACACTGGCGCTACTCTTCAGCACTGGGTTTATAGCGAAGATTTTAAATAAATGAACAAGACTCTTTTTCCGTGCATCGCGATTTAATGTTGGGATGTTTAATTTGAACCGTTCCGTGTTGAAGTGAACTGTGAACATTGAGCCAAAATGGCGCTGTTTCACTGTTTTGCGCGGATGTTCAGTAAGACACGTCCGCATTGCTTAGTCTGAAATTATTGCTACCTAAAGGGCCAATCAACATGGATGTTGTTGAAGCGCTCGTCCAATCAGAGCACATGTGGTGGAAGCGTAATAAATACGTACATAAGATACATAAAACGTGATGTGACGGAAAGATGTTGGGGTATGTTCAGTATGAACAACCTAAAAGTAAGCAGTTGTATGTAGTGAACTTAGTTTTGCTGCTTGCTAAATTTCACATTTATAAGTCAACATTTTCAAACTCCAGACCTATGTCTATGTTATTTTCTGTACAAATTTAAACAACACTTTTTATTGATCCAATGGTCTCATAACCAAAAGACTCTAAATCTGTCTGCGGTTCTTTTAATTAGTTTAATTTTTTTGCTTTTTCAACATTTGAATATACTCTTTCTTTTTCTCTGTTTTTAGTTGTATTTTTCTTCATTGTTAAAGAAAAAATTTTAAAATAGTTTTTTTTTTATTTGCTATAAACAACAGTATTGTTTTTTCTATGATAGTTTTTCAATAATATTATGAAAAACCGCATCTTACATTAAAAACTCGATCCAATATCCCAGTCTTTTCAATAGCAAGAAAAGGGCAATACTGTAAAAAAATACAATGTTTCTGAATCAGAGCAATGTTTACTATTATCTGCATTAGTAAATGGGTTTTATTCACGGTATATGCAGGAATCCTAAAGGTCATTTTAAAACCTTTTTAAGACTTTTTAAAGACCTTCTCAGAATATTTTAAGACCTCATCGCTACTTCAAGCTCTCTTCAGTATAAAACTTTTAACTTAATAAACAGTTTTAGTTAAATAAATCAATGGAGCACAACCAAGCAATAGAACTCAGATAAGCTCGGAAGAAACAGAGCTTAAAAGAAACTCGTCTTTCTCCATCCAGTGGTACGCAAACTTTCATTTGACCATTTAGCCGCCTGTTTCGCTACATGTGGAGAGCGTCACATCACCTTCCCGCATTTGTCGCAAATTACATGACATCACCCCATGACATCGGAGCTTGGCCAGATGCACCCTGGCCTGAACCAATCACATGGGTCAAGCATGCCACTGTTAATATTAAAATTAATATATTTATGCTTTTTTGGAGTAAAACACTTTGGACAATGCTTGAACTAAATTCAAGACCTCATAAAAATTTGATTAAGACTTTGTAATACCTTTTTAAGGGCCTTCATTATCTCATAATTGATTTATAAACCTTTAATACTTTTTAAGACCCTGCTGACACACTATTCTTGCAATAAAAAAATATCATCATCATCATCATCATCATCATCATCATCGTCATCGTCATCATCATATATTCTACCATAAAAGGTAAAGGCAAAAACACAAATTCAGAAATGAATTATTTTGAGACAGAATGTGTTTATTGTTATTATAAATAAATGTTCATGCGTGTCGACCCATGAAAATACTTTCCTGTTTAACCTTTAACAATAGTATAAAAAATAAGTTAAGCATTATATTAGAACACCAAAATCATCTCATATAAAACGCTGCTAAATTTGGCTTATAAAACCTATGGCAAGCAATACTTATTATGTCTGATCATGCTGGATGTGGGACGTTTCTATAAAATGAACAGTATGTCACAAAAATGAGTCCACCCCTCCCATTACTGCAAAAAATTTATTATATCTTTTCATAGGACAACACTTCAGAAATGACTCTTTACCTCAATGAATAGTAGTCAGTGTAAAGTGTGTATAGCAGTGTCAATTTATTGTCCTCTCAAAATAACTATAAATACAACCAATAATAGCTGAACCCCTGGCAACAAAAGTGAGTACACCCCTAAGTGAAAATGTGAAATGTCAATATTTTGTGTGGCCACCATCATTTTCCAGCATGGTTTTAATTCTTTTGGGCATGGCGTTGACCAGAGCTTCACATGTTGCCACTGAAATTCTCTTCCACTCCTCAAACACAACATCATGGAGGTGGTGGACATTTGACACCTTGTGCTACTCCACCTTCCTTTTCAGGATGCCCCAGAGGTGTTCTATGGGGTTTCTGTCTGGAGACATGCTTGGCCAGTCCATCACTACCCTGAGGCTCATTGGCAAGCCAATGGTCATCCTGGAGGTGTGTTTGGGGTTATTATCATGCTGGAACAGTCCAGTTTCCTGAGAGAACTGCTTCAGTATGTCACAGTACATGTTAGAATTCATGATTCTCTCAATGAAATGTAGCTTCTCAATGCCAGCAGACCTCATGCAGCCCCAGAACATGACACTCTCACCACCATGTTTAATGGTAGACAAGACACACTTGTCTTTGTACTCTTCACCTGGTTGCCGCCACACACACTTGACACCATCTGAACCCAACGGGTTTATCTTGGTCTGAGACAACAGGACATTCATTCATTCATTCATTCATTCATTTTCTTGTCGGCTTAGTCCCTTTATTAATCCGGGGTCGCCACAGCGGAATGAACCGCCAACTTATCCAGCAAGTTTTTACGCAGCAGTTGGATTCCAGCCGCAATCCATCTCTGGGAAACATCCACACACACATTCACACACACACTCATACACTGCGGACAATTTAGCCTACCCAATTCACCTGTACCACGTCTTTGGACTGTGGGGGAAACCGGAGCACCCGGAAGAAACCTACGCAAAGGCAGGGAGAACATGCAAACTCCACACAGAAGCGCCAACTGAGCCGAGGTTCGAACCAGCGACCCAGTGACCTTCTTGCTGTGGGGCGACAGCTTTCTTAGAAGAGGCTTCCTTCTAGGACCACAACCATGCAGACTAATTTGATGCAGTGTGCGGCGTACGGTCTGAGCACTGACAGGCTGACCTCCCATATCTTCAATCTCTGCAGCAATACCCAATTTAACCCACCTGCTATCTGTGGATACCTGAGACAGTGTAACACTAATGAGTTACATGACACAGGGAAAGAAAAATTACTACTTGATTTTCACATTTTCACTTTTGTTGCCAGGGGTTCAGCTCTTATTGGCTGTATTTATAGTTATTTTGAGAGGACAATAAATTGACACTGCTATAAACACTTTACACTGACTACTATTCATTGTGTCAAAGAGTCATTTCTGCAGTGTTGTCCTATGAAAAGATATGAATAAATATTTGCAGAAATTGTAGGGGTGTACTCACTTTTGTGACATACTGTACATACATTTCATGAAGAGTGAGAGGCAGACAATCTAGAATGTGTTGAGTCTTTGGTACCGTTCATGTAATGTCCCTCAAAGGTCAAAGTTCACTGTTGAAATGACTGCAGCGCCAGCGTGATTCAGGTACTCAGGAACTGATGCGTCTTCACTGAGTGCAGCATCTTCCATGAGTCCTGCCTCACGGGCATGTTGCCATAGGTGACGGTTCCCCATGATGCCTTGCTTTCTCAAGTACCCTTGACGGCAGAAGAGGGGTGGATTACGACTGGTGAGGGACAGAAGGAAGCAGGATTCTGAGAAAAAGTAAATAACAAGTGATTAAATTTAGCATGACGTTATTCTTCTGAATACTACGATACATTCTGTATAATCACTAAAGTTTGAGGTTGAGGCCATGATCCTGAAAATACAGTAAACAGGAATACTGTCGGTTTTCTTTATGATTATATTTATATATTATATTTGAAAATATAACAGTTAACTCCTGCATTTTTAGCATCATTCCATCATTACTCCAGCCTTCAATGTCATATGATGATATATAGTTATGTAGATGATATATATAGTATGTCACAAAAGTGAGTACATCCCTTCTACTTCTACAAATATTTATTTATATCTTTTCATAGGACAACTATTCAGAAATGACTCTGACACAATGAATAGTAGTCAGTGTAAAGTGTGTACACACTTTTGTGACATACTGTTTACAGTAGTTATGGTTTAATGTATATTTGTCCTTTTTTAGTAGTGTTTTTTTGTTTCTATTTTTATTTTATTTATAGACATTTTTGGTATTGGTTTTGATGATGATTTCATGTAAATGTGTCATTTTATTTGTTGTACACCAGTAAAAGATAGCCACTAATGGGGATTTAAATAAACACAAAATAAAAACACAAAAATGTCATTCTTCAAAAATCACTCGAATTTCAAGCTCAAGAAATATTGTATTAATATTAATGCTAAAAACATTAAGGCTACATTCACACTGCGAGGCTTAGTTCTCAAATCTGATTTTTTTTTCTCAGATTAGATTTTTTGCATGGCTGTTCACACTGTTGTTATAAATGTAGTCAATATCAGATCATCAGTCATATGAACAGATTATGGTCCTAAACTGACCTGTATGCACAAAAGTACAACTACACACAGCACAAAATGTCTAATTATGCACACAATGAGTATACTGTATGAAGTCAATAAAGCCTGTTGTCAGACTATGTTTAAGATAATTATTGACTTTTCAATAAACAACAGCTGTGTTTTTTTTATGAACTCTAAATGATCGTTTTTCTAGTACTAATGTGCATTTCAGTGTTTGAAACCTAAAATACGTGTTTTGTGATGATTTGTTATTAATGAAAACTGCAGTGATCATCTCACTGACCACCATGTGTAGTGAACTCATCAATGGTTGATGAGGAGCAACAGACTGAACTGCAGGAATCTTGTCTGGTGTTAAAAATGATATTGTTTGGCAGAGTCTGATTACCTAGCCTTCTACTAATTTGTTATAAACAGCATAGGCTGTTTCAGGTCAAAACTCATCAAGGTGTCTGGAGCACATACCAGTACAGAATAATGATGTTTGTCGATCGAAATCACATGAATTCCAGCATGACCATTCACACTGCGGTCAGATAACAAAACATTAGATCTGTATCTGATTTAATATTGCATATGAAAG